CCAATCTTCAAAGGTTAAACCACAACCTTGAGACCCTCCACCGCTCCGTCTCTAGAACATTGTGGAGGAGATAAATCGCAGGATGTGTCTCGACAAGTCAGGATACAAGAGCTGTCATACTGGTGCCCACAAAGAGTCCAATTATATACCTTGTAAGAGGTAGGAATCGAACCTTCACATTGCAGCTGTCAACTCAGCTGAGACCAACCCACTCATATCCTTTACATTACTGAACTATGCCCCGAGGTGCGCAAATGGTCCAATCTTCGGATTTGCAATGGATGGTTCTTCACAAGCCACATATGATCTTTTAGGTAATCAAAATGGAGACTTTTGTTAGAGACCGAATTTCGGAGGGCAACAAGTACTACAAGAAGAATTGTAACATGTTTAGTAAGATGAATTGTAGAATTCTAGAAAGTATAATGGAGAAAAAGAAAGATATATCTTGTATATTGTATTTGTAGACCGATTTAATACTGCACATGCCCTTAATATAATGGGTTAGCAATAAATGTTACTTAGATATTGAGAATGCACTATTTGCAGGGCTATGAATTGAAACATGCTTTTTTTGTGCCATATTGAGGATGGTTTTGTGCAATAATTATTTTTTTGGTAACGAAATTTTCTCTAATCAAAATTCATTTCTTCATCTTGAGATTGGTGTCCAAATGCCTTAATTATTGTTAACGTTCAATATTTTTCTTACTGTTTTGAGTTATTGTCACCTTTTTTCGTTTTTTCTTTTTTTTTTTTTATTTAGAAAATCATGTATATGAAAAATCCTGAACAAAGCTTCCTTAATAATTTGTAAAATGTCTCGTATCATCATTGTCTATTATACCGTCATTTATTATCTAATTCAATACACAATGGTGGAGTGGTTGGATTTGTATAAAATGATATATTTTAAGATTTTGATTAATGTTTTGTCATTTTTTTGAGTGTTTGGAACCTTTTTTTTTTTTTGATGTCATTATTTCGAAATTTCTATTGCTTTTTTATTGTTTGTTACTTTTTTTTATTTCTATAACTTTTTTGAGTAATGAACATACGTTTTGATTGATATTATTGTTTTTTAGTGTTTGTCACTTTTTTCTGACATTTTTTATTATTTGTTACTTTTTAAAAATTTCTATCACTTTTTTAATTGACAAATATAGATTTTGATTCGTGTTTTATCAGTGACAAACATAGGTTTTGATCAGTGTTTTGTGTCACTTTTTTTAGTATTCTTTATTTTTTTTTTGTAATTTTTGTCATTGTTTGTTACTTTTTGAGTGATAAATATAAGTTTTAATTGGTGTTTTATTACTTTTTTTAGTGTTTGTTATTATTATTATTATTTTTTTTTTCTCTCTTTTTTGAGATTGTCACTTTCTTTTTTTCTTTTTGTATGATTGAGATTTAATAATCTTTTAACAATGTTGGTTTAAAGGAAAATGCACGTTATATTCTCCACACGAGATAATAACGGATTTAAAAGAAATGTTCGGTCACTTTATTGAACTGATTCCAATATTTTAATTATTGTTTTTGTCACTTTTTTTTTATATTTTTATCACCTTTTTAAGTGTCACTTTTTTTAAAAAAAATTTCTGCCACTTTTTTTTTTGTCACTTTGTTTGAGTGACAAATATCGCTTTTTTAATAAAAGTGACATTGTATGTTAATAAAAAGTGAGGCTCAACTTTTAAAAGACATTGTGTCACTTTTTAATTTAAAAAAAATACTCACACTTAATTTTACATAGCATTTTTTCTTTCAAAACACCTTTTATATGATTTTTCAAATGACTCCTGACTTTAGAGGCATTTTTGTAAGTGGCCCATTAGTTTATGGGTTATGTCCATTTATTCGGACCAGGCTTTTGAGGTAGACTTAGTGTTGGTTGGACCAATATAGCGTGAATCAATTGGGCCATACCATTTAGTGGAATTGGACCTTATTGGGACCATTTAAGAAAAACTAAGCCCAGTAGATGGGTCTCTTAGATGGTCTTCTCTCTTTTCAATTTTCCTGTGTTCACAATTACATGAAATTACAAAGAAGTTTGAACAACGTCAAGAAAAGAGAGTGGTGCCTAGTTATTGAGAGCGTTTGTAGTCTTGGTAAAGGAACAATACGATCCTGTATTCATCCATTTGCATGATTCAAAAAGAAAAAATGAGTATGTGCTGCTATATGACGCCTAAACTCGTCTCTCACAAATGTCGCCCACAGGAAGTGGAAAACTCCAACTATGATTGGACCCCCTAGTACAAGTCTCTCATCCCTAAAACTCGCTTGCTTAGTATAGAGTTTCTAGTGATTCCTTGAGGCTAGCCATAGAGAGGAATGTTAGCAACTAGGACTATATTGATCATTAACCACTCACTCGTCAATCCGTTCTAATTAAATTTAGCATTTTTTTTTTCTAAAATCGGGTTATAACTGTTATACATAGATAGAAAGGGACGTAGTAGATTTTTCACAATCAAAGTTGAATAATAATTTCCATATTCAATACAACTCAAAATCTCAATACAAGAAATTAAATAAAAATTAAAAAGAAATTTAAAAAAAAAAAAAAAGCTAAAAGA